GCACCCAGCGTCGTGCCGGCGCACGCCAGCCACCAACGGCGCACCCGCGAGCGTGAACCCCTTTCGGATCCAAGACCGCCCCGCACACTCTGCCGTCTGGGTGGCGGTGCTGGCAGAAGCCTGCGCAGAGGGGCAAGTCCAGGTGCAGCCTCGTCCGGATGGCGATTCCGAACTGCGCGTCTGTCAGGCGGTGGCACGGCCGCGTGGGCGGCTGCAGCCAGCCGCTGGCGCCGGCCCCCCCGGCGCTGAGCAGGGCCGCCGCTGCGGGTGGGTCGGCTGCCGCTTCGTGCGCGACGCGGCGGGCAGCCGCAGCGAGTGGGGCCGAAGCCAGCGTGTGCTGCGTAGCTGCCAGCCCTTCGTCGCCGACGTGGGCGGTCTGGTCGTCGAGGGCCGCCTGGAGGACCCGTGTCGCGGCGGAGAGGCAGGTGCTCGCCCAGGGGCTGGCCCCAGCGAGGGCGCTGGCCCCTGCGTACTCCAGCCTGCGGAGGCAGTGCGGCAGGCAGAGGTGCCAGGAGGCTGCCTGCGCCGACGGCGCGGTGAGCGCCACGCTCTGGAACCCCAGTCCGCCTGCTGCCGCAGCCACGAAGGCCTTCCTCTGGGTGGCGTCGGCGAGCGGCTGCCCGAGGATCTGCTGCACCTCGGACACCAGCGCGGCGTCCATGGCCGCCCCCTCCGTCTCTGGGATGCCACATGTTCGCGCCAGGAACACGTAGTCCGAACCTGTCCGCGTCCGGAGCAGGGCCAGCGCGGTTTGGCTGCTCAGGCCTGCCGCGCGCAGCATCCGCAGCCGCCCGTAAAGCGCCCCGCGGTCGGCGACAAGGCTCGCGACCTCTGGGCTCCCCTCCGCCAGCAGGCTGCTCGCCGCGTGGGCCTGCGCCGGCGCTGCGGGGACAGGCGGGAGCGCTCCGTGGCGGAGCACCAGGGCGCGCGGCTCGACTTCCCGCTGTGCCGGGAGCGCGGCCGCCGCCACCAGCCGCAATGGGCTAACCTTGGTTTTAGTCCTCCTCCTCCTCCTCCTCCTCCTCCTCCTCATGCGGCAGCGAAGGCGCTCTCGGCCTGCCCCGCCGCCTCCGGGGCGCAGACCACCTCGAGGTCGTCCTGGTAGCTGTAGCCTCGCGCCGCCGCGCCCTCTACCATTGCCGCTTCCTCGGTTGCACGCGCAACGCGTTTGTAGGTCAGCGGGAACAGCATATTGGTGAGTGCGTCGCCCTGGTCGCCCCCGCGCTCCTTGGGAAGCGGCGTGCGGGTACCGTCGCGCGCCACGTGCGCGTGCTCTGTCGCGGTGCCAAGCCCGACCCGCACCCATGGCAGCAGATCCGGCACGAGTTCCTGGACCGCCTGCGTGGCGACAGCCCTGTCGTACTCGTTGTGGGCGTTGCTAACGTCCAGGCTCAGCTCGCAGCAGGCCGGCCGGCTGTCGAGGTCAAGCAACACCGCCTTGTGCATGACCTCCGCGCCTCTCGTGTTCCCCACAGAGTACTCGGCCTCCCCCAGGGCTCCGGCGACCCGGCCCCGAAAGATGCGGGCCACTGCCTTGGACGCCAGACGGCGGTGGAGGATCCCTAGGGCCAAGGGCCGGACCTTGTCGTCTTCTGGACGGTCCCCCGCCAGGATCCGGGCACTCTGCCACGCCTTTAAAGCCTGGGCTGGGGCAGTGCCGAGCTGGAGCCGCAGGATGACTCTCGTGAACTCCTCCCACTGGGGCCCGTGCTGCGGCATCCATGCCCAGTGCTCCCCCCGCGAGCCCCCTGGGCCTGCCCCGCGGTTGCGCGGTGCGCGGGCGTACGCCTTCCCCACCTCAGCGACAAATTGGTCGACGTCGTCGCTGAGAGGCTGCGTCTGCGGGACGTGCGGCTGCGAGGCCGCGCGGGGGAAGAGGCCGGGGAGGCAGTCTCGCGCCTTCCTGTCCGGTGCAAGCTGGATTTTGGCTTCCACCACCCTCATCGCCTCGCGAACGTCCTCGTCGGCAAGTGCCTCCTCGATCGCCTGGACATCCCTTGCCAGCTGCTGCGCCTCGGAGCGTGCGTGGGGCTCCCCGCGCGGCTGCCCAGCGGCCGCCTCCTGCCACAGGAGGTCCCAAGAACCCTCCCAGGCCAAACGCATCCGCCGGACAAGCGTTCGCGCCAGCGTCTCTCCCCTCTGCCCGCGCGCGCCGCCACGCCGCTTCCGCGCCGAGGCAAAGAGCAACCGGTCGGACAGCAGCAGGGCTTTCAAGGCTCTTTCCTCCTCCGCGGCGCCGCCCGCCCCTTGCGCCGCCACACTCAGCGCGGCCCGGAGCTCGGCCACTGCATGACGGACTGCTCCTGGGACCACCTTGACCGTGCCCATGGGGTCGTGGATGCTGTTCCACGGGACGGTGTCCCAGAACTCCATGCGGCGCAACACTCCTGGCTCCATCGCGACCTCCCGCGGCTGCGGCGGCGGCCCACGGGGCCCAGTTCCCTGCCCTGCAGCCTGCGCGTCCTGCGCTCCGTGGGCGCGTGCGGCGTCGAACGCGAGCTGCGCCTCAGAGCGTTTCTCCTCCGTGAGGCGCTCCCAGCCCTCAAGTCGATCCAACGGGCCGCACTGCAGCGTCGCGCACCCGACGTGGTGTACCCGAGCGCCGGGACCACCCCTCCTCACCCGGGGCGTCCGCGCCGGTATCTCGCCCATGCACGTTGCGCACATGGCGAGGCTCCTTGAGGTCGGAGCCGACAGCACCCAGGCCTCTCCTCCCTCCTGTCGCTGCGCTGCGCTGGCCCGCCCGGCCTCTGGAAGGCGTTGCCGCCGGCGCCCGCGCCGCGTCGGTTCCCCTTCCATCAGCTCGACGTCGTCGTCTTCTCCCTCTTCCATCGGCCCCTCCTCCACCTCGCCCTCTGACGCCTCTTCCCGGTGGGGGGAGGTGGGAGACGGGCTGGGTAGCCTCCCCCTCCGCGGGGAGGCGGGCTGGTCAGCCTCCCCGCAGGCTGCGCCCACGACGATGGCACGGCGCGCGGCCACGGCCGAGGGCCGGGGGCCCGCGCGCGCCCCCCCGCGGCGCCGCCGGAGCCTCCTCCTCCTCCTCCTCCTCCTCCTCCTCCTCCTCCTCCTCCGCCTCCGCCTCCGCCTCCGCCTCCGCCTCCGCCTCCTCCTCCGCCTCCTCCTCCTCCTCCTCCTCCTCCTCCTCCTCCTCCTCTCCTCCTCCGCCGCCCCCTCCTCCTCCTCCTCCTCCACGCCCTCGCCTCCGGCCTCCGCTCCGCCTCCGCTCCTCCTCCTCCTCCTCCTCCTTCTCCTCCTCCTCCTCCTCTCTCGTCCTCGTCCTCCTCCTCACTCCTCGCTCCTCCGCTCCCGCCTCCCCTCCGCCGCCGCCTCCTCCTCCTCCTCCTCCTCCTCCTCCCTCACTCCTCCTCCTCCTCCTCCTCCTCCACCGCCTCACGCCTCCGCCTCCGCCTCCCCTCCTCCTCCCGCCTCCTCCTCCCTCCTCCTCCTCCTCTCCTCCTCCGCCTCCTCCTCCCCGCTCCGCTCCGCTCCGCCCTCCGCTCCACGCCACCGTGCCTCCTCCTCCTCCACCACCTCCTCCTCCTCCCTCCTCCGCCGCCTCCCCCTCCTCCGCCGCCTCCGCCTCCGCCTCCGCCGCCGCCTCCGCCTCCGCATCCGCCTCCGCCTCCTCCTCCTCCTCCTCCTCCTCCTCCTCCTCTTCCTCCTCCTACTCCTCCTCCTCCTCCGCCTACGCCTCCGCCTTCGCCTCAGCCCCTCCTCCTCCTCCTCCTCCTCCTCCACCTCCTCCTCCTCCTCCTCCTCCTCCTCCTCCTCCTCCTCCGACTCCGCCTCCTCCTCCGCCTCCGCCTCCCCTCCGCATCTCCTCCTCCTCTCCTCCTCCTCCTCCTCCCTCCTCCTTCCTCCTCCTCCTCCTCCTCCTCCTCCTCAGCCTGCGCCTCCGCCTCCGCCTCTCTCCTCCTCCTCCTTCCTCCCTCCTCCTCCTCCTCCTCCTCCTCCTCCTCCTCCTCCTCCCCACGCCGAGCCATTTCGGCCCCTCACTTTAGGGGCCGAAATGTTCGAAAAACCTCTGTCTTGATTTTGCACGTTGGATCTCTGCGACCCGCTCCCCTCCCATCGCCTCTCTCCTCGCCTGCCGTTCGCGCCCTCGGCCCCTCGTGGGCTGGCGCTTTCGGTCCTCGCGCGTGTGGCCCCCCCCCCCTCCCCCTCGGTGCGGTGCTTCGCTCGATCCTTGTCTCGGTGCGGTGCTTCGCTTGACTCTTTTGGGGGTATTTGGGGGACCCTTTTGGGGGTATTTGGGACTATTTGGGATGTATTTGTTTGACCCTTTTGGGGGTATTTGGGGGGATTAATTTTTCATCGAAAATCCCCCTGTAGGGGACACGCCCGACATAATCTAATCCTATCGGGCCGGACGAAAGGGAGGGATTGGGAAAGGGGAGGTGACGAAATCTGCTGCATGCAGCTGGTTTCGGCCCCACCGAGGGGCCCATTCCTCGATACATGGCCGCCTCCGGCGCCGGGAGGCGCCGGGAGAGTCAGCTACGTGAGCTGATTCTCCAACCCCCGGGCGGCTCGGCGGCCGCGGAGGGGCGTGCCGAGCAGGGCTGGGCCTGAACGGTGTTTTTGGCGATCTCGTGGGCCGTCTTCGCTCCGATGTCGTTCTGCGGTAAAGGCGGACTGGAGACAAGACGAGGGGAAACGAACACACACACACACACACACACACACACACAACGGAAAAGAACGAAAAACGAACAACGAACAACGAGCAACGAAAACGAACAACGAACAACGAGCAACGAAAACGAAAAACACCGTTCAGGTTCAGCCTTGGTGCCGAGGTGCCGGCCGCCGCTCCCGCCGTGCGGGCGCTGCTGCCGGGCGTGCTGGACGCCAGCGCTGCTCGCGCCGTCGCGTCGGCGGGCGTCGGTCGTCACCACCCACCAAACCACCCCAACCCAACCCGAAGGCTCAGATTTACCCTCGATTTCCAGTGGGGGGGGGTCGGGAAACATAGAAACAACACATGTGGAAACCTTACCCCCCCCAACCCGAAATTCGGGTCTTCGGGTTGGGTTGGGGTGGTCTGGTAGGTAGTCAGGTCGTGGGCGCGGGCGCGCGGCGACCGACTCCTATCGTGAAGTCGGGCCTGTCCCCCTACAGGGGAATTTTTCCCAGGTGCCAGCCTGGCCGCCTCACCACAATCCCCCTGGGGAAGACAATCCCGACTTCGGCGGGAGTCCTCGGGCGAGCCGATAAAGGGCTTCCAACCCCTTCCTGGTGGGAGTGGAGGGTGGAGGAGGTGGAGGAAATATCTCAAACATAAAAAAAAACCTACAGGGGGGTTTCGACGAAAAATAGAAAAGTACCCCCAAAATAATCCAAAAATAGTCCAAAAGTAGTCTGGGGACTATTTTTGATGTATTTTTTGACTCTTTTGGGTGCATTTTGGGGGTATTAATTTTTCATCGAAAATCACCCTGTAGGGGACACGCCCGACATAATCCTATCGGGCCGGACGAAAGGGAGGGATTGGGAAAGGGGGGGTACGAAATCTGCTGCATGCAGCTGGTTTCGGCGTACCGAGGGGCCCATTCCTCGATACATGGCCGCCTCCAGCGCCAGGAGGCGCCGGGAAAATTGGGCGCCGCGTAATGGGGGGGTCATAAATGGGGGGGGGGGGCGAGGGTGGTTCGAAAAGGTACCCAAACGGTACCTAAACGAGCCCCCTGGGGCTCTGGAGGGGCCCGAAAGGAGCACGAAAGGGGACCTTTTCTGATCCCCCCGTTTGTGACCCCCCCATGAAGTCCCGTCCGAGAAAATCAGCCACGTGAGCTGATTCTCCCCCCCCCCCTTCGGGGAAACGCAAGACCCGAGTAAGCCGGAACTCGGGTTTGCCGACTTTTTTTGACGAGCACGTCCTGGATTTTGACGGTCCAGTTTTCGTGGGGTGTCTGCAGCGGGAGCTCGCGTTAAATTTCAGATTGGGCCTCGTCATTTTTATGATGGCCCCGTCGGGCCAACCCGAGTCCCCCGTACCCGAGTCTTACGTCTCCCCGACCCCTGTGCTATCCCCCCCTTTCGCCCGACCCGATCCTAGCGAGGCGAGAGCCGCCTGTGGCCATCTGTCAAGCAGTGGCGAAGCGCCCCGGCGTGCCTATAGCCCCGCCAAGCAGTGTTCTGAGAACCGTTTGTGGTTTCCACGGAAGGTGTTTCGAACATACACTTTTGGCTGGGTCTGTCTTGTTTCAACACAGCGGGTTTGTGTTCGAAGAGCATTGTTTTCGTCTTGGAACATTTCGCCGATGTGTCGGCGTTGTATCGGCTGGCTTCGAACATACATTTCTGGCTGGGTCTGTCTTGTTTCAACACAGCGGGTTTGTGTTCTAAGAGCATTGTTTTTTCTTGGAACATTTGTGGGTTCTAAGAGCACTGTAGGAATGCCAGGACGGTCGGTCCCTGCTCAAATCTGCGCCTCGACCGTGGGCGGGCGAGGGTGGCGACGGTCGCCATGCCGGCGGTCCCCAGGGTGTCGATGAAGGCAGGGAGCGTGGCGATCGAAGCCCTGGAGGCGGGCGCCGGCTGCGGCGAGCTGCGGATCCCTCGGCACAGCTTGGGTGCGATCCATGGTCGGCTGGACCGCTTCGCAAGGCCTCGGACTCGTCTTCTCGGCCCTGGTACTAAGTCGGGCCTGTTCCCCCACAGGGGGATTGCCGACGACAAATAAGAAAATACCCCCAAAATAGTCAAAAAAGAGTCCAAAAACAGTCTGGGGACTATTTTTTGTATTTTTGTTTGACCTTTTGGAGGTATTTTTGGGGTTGTTTATTTTTCGTCGAAAATCCCCCTGTAGGGGGACACTCCCGACATAGCCCTGGTACTGGTGTCGAGGGTACTGGTGGTCGCGGCGCTGATCCCCCAGCGGTGCCTGCCTGCCGTGTATCCGTTGCCCTTCAGCCCTGACGCCTCGCCGTGCATCCCGCCAGGTGTGCGCGCGGATGAGGGCATCGTGGACACATAGCTGTGCGAGCTTGGTCTGACATTAAGTCGGGCCTTGAGTCCCTCTATAGGGGGGATATTCCAAAATAGTCACGAAATAGTCTGGGAACTATTTTTTCATCTTTTTGACAATTTTGGAGTATGTTTTGAGTATTTTTATTTTTCGTCGACAATCCCCCGGTAGGGGGACACGCCCGACTTAAGTCTGGCATGGGCCCGTGGTAGATTTCTTCATGAAGTGAGACGTGCTGGTGCCGGTCGTGCTAGTCGCCATCACGATACTGAGGGGCGTCCTGGAGGCCGCTGTGGTGCAGAAGCTCTTCACGATACTGCAGCTGGCCTTCCTGGAACTCGTGGTGCGGTTCGTGCGGTTCTCCTGGGGGACGATGGGCTTCTGCTTGAAGATGCTCGTGCTGGCCATCCTCATGGAGGCGTGCATACCGACACTCCTGGCTCTGCGGATCGCTCTGACCCTCTAGGTGCTGCTGGACCTCCTGGCTCTGCGGATCGCTCTGACCCTCTAGGTGCTGCTGGAGGTGGCGAAGTGGCCGCCGCGCGGAGTTTCGTGGTGTGTGCCGTTCTTGCTGGTGCGGCTGCTCCTCTTCTTGATAGTGCTGGTGCGGTTGCTCCTCTTGCTGGTGCGGCTGCTCCTCTTCTTGATAGTTCTTGATCCCTATCCCCGTCCTCACCCACATCTCGAGCGCCACCGTCTCACCACCTCAGTTGGGGATATGCCCTTCAAAACCCGAAGAGAGCAGCCTACACCCTGATCAGTGGGGTAAATCGGCCAGTTTGGCCCAGCCCACGCTGGTGGGGATGGGGATCGGTTGAACGATGCTCCTCCTCCTCCTCCTCCTCCTCCTCCTCCTCCACAATTGCTCAATATGAATACTACTCTCCCTCTTCCCCCGATGGCGGCCTGAAAGTAGCCGACCACCCCCCGCGTACCGTTTTTTTAAAGGATTCCCGGGAGTTGGGTTTTCGCTTGCGTTTTTTTCAAAATGCTGCTCTCGTTGAGGCGCCGGCCTCATTTCTGCTCCCGAATCGTTCCGAATCGTGCTCCCGCTGCAGCGTGGGCCTCATTTTCGGATCGGTGTTTGGCCTCCGTCGTTCAGGATGGCGTTCTCGCCCCAGCGCGGGCCTCTTTCTCGCGCGCCCATCCGCCCGCCACCACCGCGCCGCACCACCACCACCACCCACCACCACCACCACCACCACCACACCACCACCAGCACCACCACCACCACCCACCACCACCAGCACCACCACCACCACCACCACCAACACCACCACCACCACCAGCACCACCACACCACCACCACCACCACAACCACGCACACACGCACGCACGCACGCACGCACGTGCACCACCACCCACTACGCACGCGCGCGCGGAGCCACAGGTCCGCTACGACACGCGTCCGCGGATAGAGAAAATCAGCGCCATGGTAAGGGATGGGAGGGAGGGGTAGGACGTCAGATATGACGCGAGCGCACCTAGCTTGTCATATCCCTCCCCCGTCCCCCGTCCCCGCCCCGCCCCCGCCCCCGCCCCGCCCCCACCCCCGCCCCCCCCCCAACCCCCCTCGCCATCGCCCTCGCCCTCCCTCCCGCCCTCTCCCCCTCCCCCTCCCCCTCCCCCTCCCCCCCCTCCTCCTCCTCCCTTTCGTTCGCTTGTCGTCCTCTGTGGGCCGCCCCCGCGGGGGGGGGGGCCCCGGGGCGCTCTCCGAGGCCCCCTCCTGTGGCTCGGAGGGCGTTCGCTCCTGCCGGTGCCGTCTGGTGGGGCGATCCTCGTCCTCCTCCTCCTCCTCCTCCACCTCCTCCTGCTCCTCCTCCTTCTCCTTTCCTCGTCGTCCTCCTCCGCTTCCTCATCTTATTCCTCCTCCACCTCATCCTCCTGGCGTGAATGTGGAGCAGACGAGGAAGGCTAGCCACGTAGAGCGAGGGGCAGAAGAAACAACAGCATCATCATCAGTATCATCATCGTCATGCTCATCATCATCATCATCATCATCATCATCATCATCATCAGCATCATCAGCATCATCAGCATCACCGCCATCAGCATCATCGTCATGGTCATCATCACCATCAGCATCATCACCATCAGCATCATCATTAGCTTCATCACCACCATGATCGTCATCATCAGCATCATCATCAGCAGCACCAGCATCATCCTCATGATTATTATCACCATCATCACCATCATCATCATCGTCCTTGTTTCGCGTCGAATGTATCCCTCATCCTCCTCCCCCTTCCTCCTTCTCCCTCTCCTTTTTTCTTATCCCTCCAGAAGGAGGGCTTGAAATGGCGGCGGCTGTGGAGAACGACGATGGGGAGGAGGCGGCAGGAGGTGAGATGAGGATCAAGCGAAGGAGGAGGAGGAGGAGGAGGAGGAGGAGGAGGAAGAGGAGGAGGGAGAGAATGGGGAGGAGGAGCAGGAGGAGGGGGAGGTAGTTGAAGGGGGGCGATGAAGGTAGGAACGTGCACGCAGATGAAGGTCTACTACATGAACCACGGAGGGGAGGGACTACCTGGCGACGCGAGGTCCTACAGCTACCATGGAAGGGCCACAGAAGCGCGTACGCGGGGATCGCCCATCCTGAGCAAGGCTGGGTCTCGGGCGCCGTCTGTTCATCGCATGTGTTGTTCAAACTTACACGATGTACTGCAGCACGCCGGTACACGATGCTTATCCCGCGAGTGACCAAGCAGATCACGCCATATATTGGGCTACGATTTGTAACACGCTACTACAATGCGGACAATAGTGCGACATGTGCCACGACACACACACACACACACACAACGTACGCAATCTCGAGTAGCACGCATGATGTGAGTGCCACGAGCGCCCTCCACCCTTTTCGTCAATCCTTGTACGACCTCCAGAGCTTCGGGGGAGGAGGAGGGTGAGGAGGAAACAAAGGGGAAGGGGTAGAAACGTGGACGGAAGAGAGAGAGAGAGAGAGAGGGCAGGGAGATGTGGAAGGGGACAGGAGAAGGACGACGAGTGGCCTGACATTCTCCGATCTTTTCGTCGCTGCGCGGCCCCAGAGGCCCCGCCCCCCTTCCCAGTGATCACCTCTTCGCCCCCGGAGGCGTTTCTGATGCTGCTGGGGCCCAGCAGCGCCCCGGCCCCCGGAGGCCGGCGTCGAGGAAGAGCGCTGGCCGACGGAAGCGCACTGCTGGAGGTCTGGGGGAGGAGACGGCCAGGGGCCGAGAGCACCAAGAGGAGGAGGAGAAGGAGGAGGAGGAGGAGGCGTCCAGGGGGAAGGACGGACGAGGACGACGAGGTGGACGGGGCGGGGCTCCCCCCCGTGCTCGGGCCTGGCGCGGAGGTGCAGGCGAACCTCCGGAGCATGCAGGAGGACCAGTGGATGACGATCGAGGCCCAGCGGTCGTGGCACTCCTCCTCGGTGCTCCTCGCTCGTCACTGCCCTCCCTCTCTCCTCCTCCTCCTCATCCTTCTCCTCTTCCTCCTCCTCCTCCTCCTCCTTTTCCTCCTTCTCCTCCTCCTCCTCCTCCTCCTCCTCCTCCTCATCCTCCTCCTCCTCCTCCTCTGTCCCCCTCCCTCGTCCTCGGTCTCCTCTTTCATCCTCGTTCTCGTTCCTCCGCCTCCTCATCCTCCTGTTCCTGTTCCTCCTATCCTGACACTTCTGAATGGGAGAGTGACGGGGATGTGTGGTGAGAAGTGTTTGACGCCTTTCGGGCAATCCAATACCATACCATACCTCCTGCTCCTCCTCCTCCTCCTTCTTCTCCTCCTCCTCCTTTTCCTCCTCCTCCTCCTCCTCCTCCTCCTCCTCCTCTTCCTCCTCTTCCTCCTCTCTTATGTTTTCCTGCTTTGTCCGCCTCCTCCCCCTTCTGCTGCAGATCCTCCTTCTGCTCCTGTTCCATTCCTTTTCCTTATAAAAATGTTCACCCTGTCGCACCCCGAGGCCAGTTTCTAGGGCGGGCCGTGCGTTTCGCCTGAGACTTCCTCACCAATTATGACCCTGAAGCTCAAACATTGGCAACCGTTTCACAGATGGAGGGCGGCTAGTTTTCAAATGTGGCTCTCGCTTTAGCGCCACGCACATTCACTTAAAGCACTGCAAGAGCTTCACGGATTAAGGGCGGCTAGTTTTCAGAATGTGGCTCTCATTTTAGCGCCGCGCACACTCGCTCAAAACATTGCAAGCGTTTCGCGGATTGAGGGCGAATCGTTTCAAAATGCGGTTCTCGCCTAAGTGCCGTGCATCTTCGTTGTTGAACATTTCCAAGAATTCCACGGATCCCCAGGATCAGCGTACCAGACATTGCGTTTTGGAAGGATTGCGGATTATGAGATTATGAGGGCGCAACAGTTACGTTGATTCGCGGTGTTGAAGTCCCACGCATGGCGTTCTGGCATCATTCAGGATCGTCAAGACGCAACAGTCAGTCTGACTTTGTGGCGGTGAAATCCCGAGAATGCTTTGTCATGCTTCAGGGTCTTCCTTCCAACGAGGCAGTTCCCTCAGTAGACAGAGCTGTTGTAGGGGCCTCTGAGGAGGGAGCTGGGAAGGGAGGGTTTATTCCAACATCGTTGATGACTCTTGGGTTTACTGGTCCTCCTTTTCCTCCTCCTTCTCCTCCTCCCTCTCCTGCTGCTCAAGCCATTTTACCCCGAGCGCATTTTGCATTTTCTCGGGGTGATCCGCCTCACCTCTACGCGGCGCTTGAGGGACACCTGCCTTTCGATCCTCGTTCGGACCGCGTTGACAAAGGAGGCGCAATGGGCAGGGGCAGGAAGGCGGGTTCCGCCACTTCCGCCCCGCCTCCTCTCTGGACCAAGTGTACGAGCTGCGGGAAGTGCGAATGGAACCATGTTCTTCAGCAGCGGGGATGTTGGCGCAAGTGCGGGCACTGGGTCGAGCTGTTCCGCGCCAGCACCAAGACGGGCTCAGCGATCGACAACAAGCTCGCGCCCCCTCCATCAGGAGGCAAGCCCCCCCCCGTTGTCGGCGGCGCCCAGACCTTCGGCTACCGCACCGCTAGCAGCTTACCAGCAGGCTCTTGCAGTTACTACGGATCCAGCGATGCGTCAGCTGCTCGAGCTCCAGGTGAGCAAGCACAGACAGTCCGAGGCGGCGGACGCCAAGGTCTCGCCCGAGGCGTCGTTGCTGAAGGCCACGGCGGCGCTGCGAGACGCAGGCGCCAAGCACGACCAGGCGATGGCGGCTCTCCTCAAGGCGGAGCAGACCCTCGAGAGGGCGCAGCTTCGGGAGCAGGAGGCGGCCATCACGCTGGCGCGGGCCGAGCAGGCCAAGCGAGTTGCAGCCCGTGCGCTCGCCACTCAGGGTGGGCCGTTGGCGGGCGGTGATGCGACGCAGAAGAAAGACGACGACCACTGTTCACGGTCACCTGGGACGAATCCTTTTTCGACCCCCTGGACGCGCTCGAGCGTGAGGAGCGCGAGCGGGATACGCTCAACAGGCTCAAGAAAGACTCGGCAGCGCCCAAGGCGCATTTCAACACCAAGTCTGACGGGGTCATGAACTGAATGAAGGAGCTCAAATCTGTCCAGCAGGCCATCGAGCACCGCATGACCAAGAAGAGGAAGGCAGCAGCTGGACAATCTCTTCCTGGCGGTGCCGGCGGTGCCGGCGGCGATGGAGCTGACGACGGCGGCGCGGGCGGCGGCGGCGCAGCCCCCGAGCCAGCCCCCGCGGCGAAATGGGCGACCCCATCCAGGTTGCGGCCAAGCGCATCAGCGAGGCCAAGAAGACGGCGGCCGCGGCGGCGGCAGGCCGAGGGGGCTGGCAAGGGGCTCGGCGCAGGCGGCGCCGCGGAGGCCGTGTGATCACAGCCAGAGGGGGCCGGCGCACAGCCGCAGTCGCCTCATGAGACTGCGCCGCGCACGCTCCCCCCCTCATCGGGAACTACGGTTTCGGCATCGCCAAGCGAGACGTTGCTTTGTTTCGCCAATGTCACTGCCATGGGCAAGAAAGCATGGGGACATCCCACTGGCGCACAGTCTAAGCCGTATAGTTATTTTGCCGCGTGCGAGACTCATGGCGAATCTCGTGAGTCTCTAGCGCCCTGGCTGGACTCTGCCAACCAGGCTCGCCTCAAACTTTTCTCCAACCCCGCCCGCCCCACAGGCAAGGCCACCGCGCAGAGCGGCCAAGCCCGTGCGAACGAAGGGGGCGAATGGGTTCTAGCTCGCAAGCACCTCCAGGCACATCCCCCTGCCATGTCAGAGGCCGTTTGGAGTGATCTCGCAGCGGACGGCTCCACAGCCTCAGACGGTTGCGCTGCAGTAGTTGGCCATCAGAAGCGGTGTCCTTTTATTCTCCGCACATTTTATGGCCTGAGCGACGAGGGTTTCACGGGCAGGAATCTCCGGAGGTTCACACGCCTGGGCGCCCTTCTGTTTCAATGTCGGTTCCCGTGGATTGTCGCGGGCGATTTCAATTTGCCAGCGGCTACTCTGCAGCGAACTGGCTTCGTTGAGAAAGTCGGTGGCGTTGTTTTCCAGGCGCTTCTGGCGTGCACCTACGCACTCGGCGCGGGCGCGCGCGTTGATTACGTTCTTGCTAGCGTTTCCAGTATCCCCTACATCATAGGTGTCGAAGGGCGCCTCGATGTTCCTCGGCGTCCGCACTGTGGTCTGATCGTTCGCCTGAGGTCGTCTGCCCAGCAGCTGTTGTGTCGCGAGCTCCAGATGGCGCGGAAGCTTCCGCAAGTTCCGCGCCCGAGAGCCTTGCCTCAGCCGAACTCGAAGTCCAGTCAGAGCAAGGCTGCTGCCAACGAGAGGCGTGCTGCACCTGAGGTTTTCGCACAGGAGCAGTATGGCGCGCTGTTTGGCGATCTGCATGAGCAGAACCACCAGAGCACATAGCGCGCGCGCCGCCCTCATTTGCCAGCCACTGGTGGAGCTGAATGTGGCGACGGCGACGGGGATAGTTTCGGCGCC